TTCTGACTTTTTGCCATTATCACTCGGATTCTTTTTTTTTAGGTTAGGTTAGGTAAATTAAAAAACTCCAAAATACACTAGAACAAATAAAATCTCATACCAATTGGGGAAATTGGGATAAGAACGACTTCTTACCGAGTATAGCCCATGTCGTGGGCACGGCTTGGGCTCACCTTCCTCACTCACGTTCCACAGTTTTGGTACCAAGCTTTATTACGTGACGACAGATTGGGTTTCCTTTCTTTTTCTATTTTCGTTTTTCTTCGTATTTTTCTACTTGATGTTAAGTTAGGTTGGAAAAGTCATGTACAGTATCCTGATATGAGAGTCGTTAGGTTTCGTTAGAATTGATTCCTCCAATTTTTGGGAGTTCTTGAGTAAAGGAAGTGTTTTTTCTATTGAAAAGTTCCAAATGTTGTTCGATATCCCGCGCACCTATTCTTAAGTAATGTATTAACTTCTTTAAAGTTTTCGGTAATAGAATAAATTATGTTAACTTGGTAATTGTGAAACGTGAGAGTAGAGAACATTGGCAGGCACGTAAAAAAACGTGATAATACAAAATAAATAAATAAATAAATAAAATAAATAAACCTAAGGAACCAAACCTAACGCCTCTCATATCAGGATACATGACTTCCAACCTAACTTAAACATCAAGTGGAAGAAGAAAAGACGAAAAGAATGGAACAAGAAAATAAAGGCTTAGTTCACTCAACCTATCATCACGCAATAAAGCTTGGTAATTATGAAACGTGAAAACGGTGAACACGATCAGGTAACGACTATACTCACATAAAAAAAGCGTGGTAATAGCCACTTCGAAAAATATTTTGCGGTCAATTCGCCCACAAGTCCATTCGCCTACATTTCGAGTTTATTCTCCCACACTTAGGAGTCGGTTCGCCCTCACCTGAAGTCAGTTCGCCCACACTTTGTCAAGTTCTATTTAAGTTTATTCATGTACTAGACAACAATGTAATATATACAAATTAAAGGCGTTTATTGTAAGGCGTTTTAAGATGCACGGGATAGCTAACACGTTAGCTTTCCCGGAGTCATTAAAAAAAAATCGGTCAATTTATAGTATCACACCTGTCTTTATTTCGATATTAAAAATAGGTTTTTCTATGTATTTTAATGAGTTTCGAACGAATTTGATATTCATTTCTACCGGAAATCACGTGTTTTGTAGATAACCCCCCCCCCCCACCCAACAATCACAATGGAAAAAGTTGGATTTCTTTTTCAGAATAAATAACATAAATTATATTACCAACCAACCAAGAAACCTAACCTAACCTATGGCGAAGACCACCTCAGCCATAGGTAAACAAATCATGGCGACATTTGTGACTGAGGCAAAGTAATTATCTTGAAAAATTAATAGCTCGGTTAACTTTAATTTCCGGTGGAAATATCATAGAAGAAAAATGTCTTAGGATTGTGTGAACATTACGAGATATATATTTTTAATACGGAAATAAAGACCGGTGTGATACTATAAATTCACCAAAAATTCGACATTGTACCGCGTCTTGGGAATAACTGTTGCACAGTAGGGGTCAAAAGTCTTGAACACTTAGCAATAGCTGGCATCTATTTCTGAGTTAAACATATATGATTGGGATATACTAATAACACTACTTGTCATCACATATAATGCCTGAACCACAAAATGGGATAAAACTCTCTTTAATACCTAAGATCTTCGGGTACTTACTTGCCAAATGCTGTCAAGTGTTCAAGACTTTTGACCCCAACTGTACAATACAGTCTTCAGAAAATAATACAATTAGGAGAACTGTTATTTGGACACGATACAGAAAGAAAAAGTAAAGAAATTATATATAAAATTATAGAAAGAAAGACAAAAAAGGAAAAAAGTCCACCAGTCAACAGTAAATAAGAATGAAAAAAAGTCGGGCCCATTGTGAAGGTAATCCAGACATATTCTCTCTCAGCTAGACTAGCATGTTTGTGCAAGAAATTCGACGAATTTCAGGTTCGTTTAAGTCTTAATTTTTGCACTTACAGAACTGTAATCAACTTGTTCACCCTTATTTCAAGTATCTTATGAGTAATGATATTAATGTTTCAATCATCTTTGAGTTATTATCAATAATGTTACACCAAAGTCACCAACGGCTGATGAAATCTGACAGCGCCCATTTAAAAAGGGCGGAGCCAAAACAGGTTCCAACTAGGCCTGACCCTTTTCAAATTTTTCACGCCATACGCTTTGCTTTAGGTCCTATCCAATATACTATCACATATATAATTATTTTTATTATTATATCACAGTTTTTTAAAGCCTTACATGCCCTCAACTCTTCAATATTAATAAAAATATTATCCATAAGCGGCCATGATCCGCGTATTTTCAATGGGAGAAATCGCTGATTGGTTGTTAGCTATTTAGGCCGCTTAAGGATAACGTCTGATCGAGGTGCTAGCTTTTCCCTTTGAATGTGTCAGGCGTACAAGTCAAAAGCTGTGTGAGCATACAGAATAGCTGACGCTTTAGCAAATCCATGCATCTGAAACGCCTTACAATAACCGCCTCAAGTTTTAGGTTGTTTATTCTGTGACTTTCAAATATAAAAACCTATATAAAATACACAAACTAAAAAGTTTTAAAATATCAATCATAGAAGTAACATAGAGTGGATTTAGGATGTTTGGTCACATACCAGCTGCTGACTGGTCCATTGAGATGGGCGCAAGCCTCAGAAGTTGGCAAGCTGACCTCTCGTTCCTCAAGTATTCGACCCAAACAGCGAATATTTTGGCCTGCAACTCCCTATATTTTCTTTGCGGCGGGGATAATCATGTCTGATACTGGCATGATACTGTCGGTGCACGAATTGTAACTCCAGTCTATGGAATGACCGGATCTAACAGCTGCCCATTACTCAGCTCGAGATACGCCTGTATCACATTTCCTGTGCTGCCACTTCCCACACCCGTCGCACGCAGACCTTGCCGTGCCCGTACAGGCACATTGCATTGAATGCAATAATCTTGACAGTCTGCCATCTTGCCATTGACTGACTAAATCCGCTGGACTTTAACAATTACGAAACCTACAGACTATATTTTCATAGTTTCGAAAACTTTATTGAAGTTCAGTTCTTTACATTACCACATTACTAAACCTAAATAAAACAGGTGACAAAACAGGTGTGGGTAAACCGACTCGATAGTGTGGGTGAATCAACTCTAAATGTAGGTAAAATGACTTGTGTTCGACGCCATAGTGTGGGTGAAATGACCGGATTCCGAAAAAAATAATAAAAAAAGTCGTTTAGGTTTGGTTTGTTTATATGGTCTGCCATTATTAGTGGTTTAAATAGCCCTGAAGTTGCGCTTAGAAATTGTTTTTGAGAAGACTGATCTTTATGGGGAAATTTTCACCATTGTCTCTGTAATTAAAGTAGTTTTCCTCCTCATCAGATTTTCATTTTGTGAAGTTACCCAAACATATCTGTAAATATCTTACTAACAGTGATCAAGGAATAAGGTGGAGACCTTCTAAGCCTTTACCATATAGATTAATTGCTATTTTCTCATGTATTTTCATAGTTCCTTTGAAAATTTGAATAAAATTTTTTATTGGCAATTAAAAAAAAAGGCTGCAAGGTTAAATGGTATTGCAGTTTCACTCCCAATTAGGTTAGAGCAATTTTGGGGTACTTCCGTCACAAGTGGATAATAACCGAGATGGTAACTTCACTTAGGAAATTCGCGTAAATCTGCCAGCCACCGTGTGTCGTCTGATTGTTTACAAATAACCCGCTCGGCCCAAGCGCACTCACGTTAAAAAAAAAAAAAAAAAAAAAACACGTACAATTGCACCATGATGCTTCAACAAAGTTGCTTTCATTGGTACCAGATATCAAAAGAAGTACTTTCTGTTTAGTACGGTACCTCGGCTAGGAAGTTAGGTAAGAGTAGGTAGGTCTCTGGTTGGTTAGGTCAGGCTCAATGGAAGGGGGTGAAAACTCAAAAACGACTAATTTTCGACGGAAATGAAGATCAACTTCGAATGAATCACACCAATTGCTATGGGAAAACCTAAATTTCTGGTCAAAACCAAACGGTAGTGAAACTACAATTTTACTGGTTAAATGTGTTCTGGAATTATGACTTGTGTTGAGCTTCTAACTGGAGAATAAATTAAGATTCCAACATTAAATATGAAATTAAAAGAAATTTTCGCCCGAGAAACAAATTGAAACTGTATACACACACACACACACACACATCCAGGTGATAGCAAAGAGGGTCTTTCATACAGGGTGTCCCAAAAGTCTCTTTCCGGTTTTAAATATTTATTACTAAAAAATCAAAAGGGATATAGTAATACAGTTTGCTGCATCATATTCCTTAGTTAATTGATTTTTTTCTTTACATGTACAGTGGATTTGAGAGGTATTCTCTTGGTGGAGAAAATAAGGAGTAACAATGGCGTCTAATCAAGAGAAAGCGCAATGTGTTGTTCTGGTTTGCAGAGAGCAAATCAGTGACAACAGTGCAAAGACAAAACCGCCAGAGGTATGGTAACGAGCCACCCTCAAAACCCAGCATTAGGGCATGGTTTCAAAAGTTTCTGGAAACAGGCAGTGTTTGTGACTTGCCCCGAAGTGGACGCCCAAGGATGTCTGAAGAGTCCTTTGAATCTGTTCGGGAAGCATTCCAACGAAGACCAAGAAAGTTAGTTCTTGCTGCACCAATGGAGCTTCATCTACCTAAGAAATCCATACACCGGTTTTGTCTTTGCACTGTTGTCACTGATTTGCTCTCTGCAAACCAGAACAACACATTGCGCTTTCTCTTGATTAGACGCCATTGTTACTCCTTATTTTCTCCACCAAGAGAATACCTCTCAAATCCACTGTACATGTAAAGAAAAAAATCAATTAACTAAGGAATATGATGCAGCAAACTGTATTACTATATCCCTTTTGATTTTTTAGTAATAAATATTTAAAACCGGAAAGAGACTGTCAGTGAATGATTAAAGTACATTTTAATTTATAATAATATTTTCCTCATTTAAATACACTTTATATTACTACCCCTGTCTTTATTTTGTGCGAAAAGAAACAAAGAAGCATCAATAAATTTGTGATCAAGAACGAAGGCGACCATTCAGAAATTTAACAAGGCCAACTTTCTCAAACGATTATGTTTCCCCATTCAGTCTCAGATGACTTGTTGGGGTTACTTTGTGCCAAAGGCCCAAAATTGTTTATTTTTTTGAGTTTTGATCCTCTTAGAATAGGATTGTTTTGTGGGTTCTATAGCAAGGATTATATGTGCCAACTTTCATCCTAAATCGGTATGACTGAACAACACCTCAAAATTTACGTTTTGGGGTTTGATATTTGACAGAGTATATTCGCTCAAAAGGGCAAAATAAAAACTCGATGAAGGTGGCTGACTTATGGAGCACGGTACAACCCTGCAAAGTGTTAAGTATGAATGTAATTGGCCTATAATTGAAGGAGTGGCGATTAATTGTTAATTGTTTGCAAGAAGACAGAAAAAAATAAACGACTCCCTCCTTTGGGGGAGACTTAACTACAGTCTGAGTCTGTAAAGGTACAGTAGGGTGAATGGCAGTGTATTTCACAAAAAAGACTTTGTATATTGTACATAGTACACATTAGTACGTAGTCATGACAACTACAGTAAAATTATAAGACAATTATTTACATAATCTACAATAGAAAACATAACAGTTGACAAACCTGGTAGTGGCTATCGTCACACGTCTTCTAGCGAAGAAATGCACAAAATCACACACAACCCATAGACCACTAATGATTAATGTCAGTGTCAAGAGAATTAGCTGAACATCAACTATATCGATATCAACGATTTCGTTGTAATTATTTGCGGTATTTAGTATTGTTTCTGTATTATAAGTTAATGTCACCATCCTTATCCAAAGTAGTCATTACCGCACTCATGTGGCACTGTCATCCAGACCCTAACCATTTTCTCCTTTCTTTCACCAGTAGCAATTTTATCCATACATTCATCACATTCTTTGTCAATTACCAATAATTCAGTCACATTACTGTCCTGCTGAGCAAGGGACAGTGCTGACGTCACAACCGTATTATCCTAGTGTCCTTGAAAGAACAGATCTCACCATATTCATTCTAGGGGGTTCTCTCCATCGTGATGTAACGCTCTCCAGAACATTGGCATTTTCAGTTATATTTAATATATTATACACAATTAATCGAATGCAAAAAGTGTTAAAACGCTTAACTAACCAAAGAAATGTTAAGAATTTAAATACACACGTATAAGGTTGTACACCAAAACTAATCCCAAACACACATACCATATTATTTTGTTCTCTAGAATTCATCCTTTCGTGGATGCGAAGCTTGATTTTTCCAGTATATCTAGTTTACATGCATAAAACATAAATCCTTAGAAGTTCATAATAGTAAACACCAAAGGGATTAAATAATTTGTCATCGTAATCTACTCGTTCCCATATTTTTTTGTCTCCTTGTGTTCTGGAACACTGCTTGTTGTTGATGTTTCATTATTTTCTCGGAGTTTTTTGCTTTTTCTATTTTGGCCTCTCCGTACACTGCTGCTCCCCTTAACACCTGATCTTGTCAGCGAGTCGTCCTGGTCCATCTGAACGAGTTCAACAGTGGATTTTCTCACGCTTCCCTCTGACGGTACATTGTCCACGCGAACAACTGGTAGTATACTAAGAGGGGTGTCCACAATATTAGATGTATCTGATGAACTTATAGAAAACGTGGAGTTGTTTAGAGAGTCAGAAGTGGTATTGGAAGGAATAGAGGACTGTGGAGATGTTGCTTTAGATGTTAAATGTCTATTGAAAGGTCCTTTTGCTCTTGGGGCACCAGAGATCTGGGGGTTCTTGTGGTGCTGGTGCCTTATATGGTGAGTTGCACTAGTATTTCCTTTCGAAGCTCCTTCGTGTGTCTTCTTGCTTCCTACTGATTCTGGTTGATTTCCTGCAACATAGTTGCTTTTGCTGGAATTGTTTGTTGTATTATGGTTATCATTGATTCCGATTGTTGCATTATATCGTATGTCATTTTCTACGTCTCCGGTAACAAATGTTTCCCGCGTCCTTGATGTATTACCATCCTTGGAGTTACCCTGAAGCTGGAAATCCATTTGAAATTTCTGGATTGTTTTTTGAGCTTCTTGGAGGATTTTCCTCAGCTTTTTTATACCTTCATCGTCATCATCATCATCGTAGACGTTTAAATTGTCTGCCCCCGTCGAATGATGGCATTTCTCAGCTGTTTCATTGTTTCCCTTCTGGCTCCCACACGTCCTTGCACAAACAGGTTTATATGCTCCATCATTTTGCCTATCACCGGCATCTTGGAGTTCCCCTCGTCTCCTGTGTAATATCTTTGGTGTTTGTTTTTTCATTTCCTCGTTTCTGTAATCTGTTTGGACGTCTTCTGTGCCGAGTACGTGGATTTCTTGAATAATGTTTTCTTCCCCAAAATCATTCCTCTCACCAGGTTCTGTACCCACCTGAGTATAAGCAACATTATCTGGATTTGTATCGAGTTTTCTTCCCGTCCCCCCTCTTACCGGCCCATTTTTCGTTTTCTCAATTTTCTGAAGAGAAGACCCCTCACTCTTAGTCGTCTTTGTGTGATGATGAAAACCAAGGCCTTGTAACTCTTTCGAACTTGTGTTATTACTGATTTCACTGTCCACCTCACTCGGAACATTAAACTTTTCTGTTTCACTATGTTTGTCGAGAGAGTTATTGTGAACAGCAGACGGCTTGCTACTATATGCACTGGTGATATTGTTGCTACTTGAACTAAACTTGCTACGTGTGTTATTTACATAAGTGACTACAGTCTTCTCCAACTGAGGTTTATTGGGACTAGAATGTGACGTAGACGAGGCAAGGCCAGGGCTATAAGCAGTCCCGTCTAACTGGTAGTTTACCTGAAATAAAATACTATATGTTAACTTAAGACCAATGATTATGCTGCTAAGAAATCTGGGATTAAGAGGTACACCTCAAGTAGATGTGCTTATTTTTCATCATTCCTGCTACTGTAAGTTTATTTGTTGAGCTATAAGCGTTGTCTTAGATGTATAAATCAAGTGAGAATATTGACCATGGAATGGCTATTATATTGGTATCAAAATATTGACCATTAAATATTATGTTGGTATCAAAATATTGATCATTAAATATTATGTTGGTAGCAAAATATATTATGTTGATTTCAAATTATTGATCACGAAATAAATTTTATAAAAATTTTACTTCAGGTAATTGTAAAAGATAGGTAGTGGCAATATTTCAACATCGGATATTTTGATAGTTTTGTAATACTTTAAAAGGTAGATATTGGAATTAGGCTCTTCTGCTGATCAAATTATAAGCATTCCCTAAGTAAAATCACAGACGATGGGTGTCTTTGTGAAACATGAAATTTTAAGCAATTTTCTACGTGATTTTAACGATTAAATCAGTTTACACTTACTGAACAGACTTTTGAACTTATTAAACTACAAAGGCACCGCTCGTCTCAGTAATGATATGCTTTTATATGAAACTTTTTGCAGTGTAGGTATTTACACCAATACGCCATAAGTACTTAACAAATAGTGTGAAGAGAAATGTGTTTAACTATACAATGATACAAAATGTAGTGGCGATACATAATATCTTCACTGGGTTGGTCATTTCTCAGCCAGATGTCTGATCTGAGGAACTTAAAAGACCATGCATGAACACGCTAACATGCACAACTCTACCTTGAAGCATGCCATCGAACACGTGACAACATTATCACACCATGCAGTCATGCCACATACTCAACCACGACCAACACGGAAATACACACGTTCTTGTAAACTCTACTCATCGTTGTTAGCTCCTTATTGGTTCAATAATAACAATAATAACTGATAGATAATATTAGCGATTTAACAACACAGAGTTAATAGTATTAATAAACTTGATTTCAATTAGACAAAGGAAATTAAATTTCAACAGGAACAACAACAATGCAATAGGGAATAGGCCTACAAGACAAAATGCGGAATGAACACTCATGTACAGTATTTCGAGTTTGGACTTGTATAGAGGAAGGTAAATAGATTAGTACCATCTGCTTGATCCTGCACAGCCAAAAATGAAAAATATCTCCTGATGGAATCCCTTGTCATCCAAGAAACCCATCGTGTTTCTAAAATAAAAGAAATCCACACATAAAAATCGTTAAGTATAAAGATCCGTGTTGATTATTCTCTATATACATGAGTCATTGTTACTGTAAGTCCAAACACCTGTTATATGAATACAAATCTTTCTTGTTATGTAGTGTAATCATCTCTGCTACTCCAAGGTTATTTGACTGTAATCGTCACTATACAGTGCAGATTCCGTTAATGTGATTCACAAAACCTGTATTATGAGGACCAAGTTCTTGCTCTTGTGCATTCATAATATGTTATTAAATATCTAGTATCTATATCATAGAGAACGAAAACGTCTGTCACTTTCTACAATGCAGACTTTCACTTCTATGACCAACTTGCAAAACTAAGATTTATTTATTTTTTGTCTCACCGAAGGAGAGTATACAATCCAGCTGAATCCAGAATATAATGACATTGATTTTGATCACAAGATTATTTAATACAGACTATGATCATTTGTCGTAAGCATAATTCACCCTCATTCCTTGCCCAGGTAAAGCAGTCTTGAAGGACGAGTCTATGGAAACGACGCACTAGCTTTGTTAAACGATTGAATTACACAAACACACACATACGTGTGTATAATTATTTTAGTTATTTACACGTATGATTTTTTCGTGGGTGATAAGTGCCATGCTTTCCATGCATGCAAATTTAAAATGTATTTAATCCTAGATATATAAATTGGCTATTCAATTTTAAACCATTAGTTAACAGTTCCGGATTCAGCTGGTTATGTACCTCAACAGTCAACCGAATCAATGTGTTGTGATCGACATGTCTCATTGCGGAAGCTCGAGGAACAAGTAATTAAAATAGAAATAACATCTACTGTGCAGCAAATATTACACACACACACACACACATTATGTATATCACACTAGATAATCGTCGGTGAAGCTTTGAAAAGCAACTGAAGTTTTTACCGAATAGGGATAACTTTTTGTTTTTATAACTATAGCTCGATGGAAATTAATTCGTATATGAAATTTGCCGTTTCATTTAAGTCGTCAAAATATAGCAATAAATACACCTAAAGGAGATTAGGTAACGTTAGTCTAGGTTAAGGTAGGTTAGGTTAGGTTGGGTCAAGTCAGGTTAAGGTAGGTTTTGTGTGAAAATTTTATTTTTTTGTGTTTTTATTATCTACATGATCGCTTGTTGGTCAGCCAAAAGTCTAAAAAAAATACATAGAAGTTATCGCCAATCGGAAATTATATAAATATATATATATATATATATATATATATATATATATATATATATATATATATATATATATATATATATATATATATATATATATATATATATATATATATATATATATATATATGTATATATATATATATGCCTTGGTTGATTTTTTCTTTTGTCCGTATATAAATTAAATATCATGAGTTACATTAGTCTCACAAAGTCTATGAGTATATAAGTGTTGGAACAAAATCATTTTAACAACTCCGATTACTGTACTGTATGTGGTGTCTACATAAAAATTTAAACTCATGCGTAATTTAGCAATCATGATGCGAGAGTAGTGTACTTGTCAAATGTCTTGTGGCGGAATACTGAGGATACTGAATTTTTTATATTTTTATGTAGGCCTATCAGAGATTTCTTAGAGCTATCGATCATACGTCAGACCTTTTTAGTAGGTCATTTTTTTAGTTTGGTGGTAATTATTTTAAGATACAAAATCTTACATTTTCACCCTGAGTTGTCTTTACAAGGATATGTACCTTAAGCTTACGTAATTGTCAATGATTTATGCAATTTTCTAGTTTTTCAAAATATAATAATCTCAATTAACTTATAAATAAACTCCCGTAGTTTAGTAAATTAGCATATGAATCATTTGCTTGCTATTGCTTTGTGTTCATTGAAAATGTGAGTAGTGTATATAGTGTAAACTTGTCATTGTTTGTAGAGTTTCATGTTGAAATGATTATAATAGTGTCAAGGGGTTTCAGAAAATACAAAACAATACATCTCTGCCAAGCGAAAAATTTATGCAGCTAATTATGTCTTGCGTAATACCTGTTGATATTTACAAATAATATAAGAAGTAAATACATTTACTTACAACAAGAACCATTTAATCCAAATGATGCATTTAAAAAACAATTTATTGACAGTAGACAGTCACGGGAATCGAAGTTTCATCCCAGTTTATTGGCATCTCCTCTTCATTGTGATCATTATATGTATTTATGCAGTAAATATAAAGATTCACAGAAAAAGGAATATATGTACAGTGTGAGTTTCGCAGACTAGAGCAGATTGATTTTATCTATTACATGTTCCTCGAGTCCAAGGTGTTACTGAGTGCGTGTGTCAAGAGTGAGGGCGTGCACGGTAGTCACACACGTTTGGCGGCGGGCGTGGGGAGCGGGCGTGGGCCGGGGCGTGGGCAGGGGACGACTGATAGACCAGTGAACCATCAGGGAGCCGGGAGACCAAGTACCCACCGTCCTCATCCTCCGGCACCGTCACTGTAATGAACACCCACTACACTGACACCTGCCACACCTGCTGGGCTACACTGATACCTGTCACACCTGCTGGGCTACACTGACACCTGCCACACCTGCTGGGCTACACTGATACCTGTCACACCTGCTGGGCTACACTGACACCTGCCACACCTGCTGGGCTACACTGACACCTGCACACACCTGCTGGGCTGCACTGACACCTGCCACACCTGCTGGGCTACACTGACATCTGCCACACCTGCTGGGCTACATTGACACCTGCCACACCTGCTGGGCTACACTGACACCTGCACGCTGACACCTGCCACCTGCTGGGCTACACTGACATCTGCCACACCTGCTGGGCTGCCACCTGCCACACCTGCTGGGCTACTCCCACCTGCCAACACCTGCTGGGTTACATTGACACCTGCCACACCTGCTGGGCTACACTGACACCTGCCACACCTGCTGGGCTGACACCTGCCTGCTGGGCCACACTGACATCTACCACACCTGCTGGGCTACACCGACACCTGCCACATCTACTGGGCTACACTGACACTCACCACACCTGCTGGGCTACACTGACGCCTGCCACACCTGTTGGGTTACACCTGCCACACCTGCTGGGCTACACTGACACCTGCCACACTGCTGGGCTATACTGACACCTGCCACACCTACTGGGCTACACTGACACTCGCCACACCTGTTGGGATACACTGAAACCTGCTACACCTGCTGGGCCACACTGACACTCGCCACACCTGTTGGGATACGCTTACACCTGCCACACCTGCTGGGCTACACTGACACTGCGCACACCTGTTGACTGACACCTGCTAGGCTACACTGACACCTGTCATACCTGCTGGGCTACACTGACACCTGCCACACCTGCTGGGCTACATTGCCACCTGCCACACCTGCTGGGCTACACTCCCACCTGCCAACACCTGCTGGGTTACATTGACACCTGCCACACCTGCTGGGCTACACTGACACCTGCCACACCTGCTGGGCTACACTGACACCTGCCACACCTATTCGACTCTACAGGCACCCGAACACCTACTACACTGAGACTAATGTAACCTGAAGATATACTGACACTCAATCCCATACACCCCAGACAAGTGTTGAGCTGGTTGGAACGTCAGTCAGAGTGCAGTAAAAGGGATGTCAGAATTCCACGTCGCCATAATAAAAATGGCGGTTTGTAGCCAAGTTTATATTCATCATCTGGCAGTTCCTCGAATATTCGGATGAGTTGAAATTACACCAAGCCATGATAGTTTTACGGGGAGTAGCCCACCCGGTGCAGGTTATCGACCCACAACGGGGCCTGGGGGCCGAAAAAATGAGTAAAAAGAAATTAAAAAATAGTAGTCATTTTCATCGAATCCGTGACCATTGTGTTCCTACTTTTTTTTTATTGTTGATTTATGTACCAGGGACTATTCAAACAAGATTTAGCCTCAATGTGACCTATGAAGAATGTCATCTACAAATAATTTGTGATCTCAGTATCTGGGTTATATTCTGAACGAAATTAAATAAAGGCCCTTTTCATGCTTTACTACAATAATCTGATGCATTTTAAGAATCATTGTTGGTGTCACTGCTTGAGCCACTGCTGCCATTAGAATCACTGTCACTATCAGCAGCATCTTCAGTATCACTTTCAATGTCTGTGTCCATGTCTTCATCATCCTGACTCAGAGGTAGGGGTATTGACGTGGGAAGTGGGTGCTGGGTGTAGCGGACAGGCTGGCACAGACCGATGGGTGAGGGGTGGAATTGGAGGTTTGGTGCTTCAGCAGAAAACTGAGATAGTTTGTTCGTCTTACGTGGAGGTGAAGACTGTCTTGACTCAGATGCCAGTGGGACGGTGTTCTTCGTCTGTGCCCTCCACTTAGCTGCCCTTACTTCTCCCAGAGTCGTGTTATTGGCGTCACAATAGATGTATCGGATCACAAACTTCTCCAAGTCATCGAGGACCTCTTTTGGGGCTGGCAGCTCTGTGCCACACGATGCCAAAAGGTCACGTGCCTCCTTAGAACTTTGGACCCGAACTGCCACCAGTTTCTTGCTGGTGCCAAAGAAGCCAAAGTTATGATCGCAGCCGGTGAGAACATGGGGTGGAATGATGCAGGCCGCCATTTCCTCATCGCATGGACTTTGGGAGGTGATGAATTGTGTCTTCCTCATCACACATAATACTCCTGATATTAGCTGGGCAACATAAGCTGCCTGCACGTAGTTATCGGTGTCTTCTGTATCAAGACTGGGAACAGGCTGGCCTGTACTGTGGTTTTTCGCACTGGGACCTATACAGTAGAAGATTTCGACAGCAGATGTGTCTGCAGTGCTCTGGAATCCAGCCTGCAGAAATGCCTGCAAACGGATCTTATTTTCTGCTTTACCCAAAAGAAGGTGGAAGTGTTTGATTGCAGGAAACTTATCTTCTGACTTCGTGTAAATGTTACTGATTGACGCACTCTTCTGACTCAGCATGCGTTCGCTGTCTTTGATTGTCCATCTCTGATCCTATGAGTCATTCACACAAATGATCCGCTCTGCATTTTATGCCTTGTCAAGACTGTGCGTACCACCTTCGTTCTATAATCTCCTCAGGTGTATTTGGTGCCATCGCCCTTCTCTCGATCTTCATGGGTTGGGGCAGCCAGGCACCAAATTAGGACCATATGAATGGTCGACGTTTATGTATGGGGTTGTTGTATAGGTGTCATCGTGAGTTTCTCTCGCAACTTGCCTTTTTGCACCCTCCACATCGTGCCACTGTTGTTGAAGATCGACAGACACTCTTCTGTGACACGATGCTGCAACAACTGTTCAATTAGGCCAAGAACGGAAGCCATGGCTTTTGTTTCCATTTCCTCTGTCTTTCCTTTCATAATATTGTTGGCCTTTTTGACTAAGTTGGTAGTAAAGTTTTGGCGTCTGCTTTTCGGGACTCAGTTGTTCAGTGACTTCACCTTGGATATCCCCCTCTTTTTTCCATGCCATCTGCCTTTGCAGATTTCAAGTCAGCAGCGAGTATTTCAGAAGCCGGAATTCCTGACTGCAGAGAACGAACTGTCTGATCGGTATGGTCAAATGGATCGCATTTGAATTCAGTGAAACATGCACTCAGATCTACAACGGCTTTTTCATCTATCATGATTTTACTCTGCGGAATCGTCATTTTTATTGGGACACATAAAAAAGGACTCTGTTTAATTTTATTCAGAATATACCCCAGATACTGATATCACAAATTATTCTCACATGGTGACGTTGCGTTAGTGAAATCAGTGACCATTATGTTCCCACCGGTTTTTATAAGATTTCAGAGTGAAACTATTTTGTATAAAAGATCGAGGTGACCTCAGCAGTAAAATAACTATCTTATCCATTCTGCCACACTGGAACTCGAGCAGAAGAAGCCCCATTCACACAAATAGCTCGGTTGGATGCTTAGTTATATCGTTTTCCTATTTTTAACCTTGGCGACTGCCGCCATCTTGGATTTGTAGGTCAAGATGGCGCCCAAACTAATAACTTACCATCCCATCAGATTTCTCACCTCAAAATTAGCGGAAAATGATCCCATATTCATGATTCTAGTGTAACTAGTTCAGAAGTTATCACCGGCCATATGGCGAAAATGACCATCGGCTACCACTTCGGAGTTTGCTCTCCCGCGGAGTTAGCTGATATTTTTCAGAGGTACATAGAGGCTAAATCTTGTGTGAAGAGTCCCTGGTACACGATCAACAATAAACAAAAGTAGGAACACAGTGGTCACGGAGTCGATGAAAATGACTACTGTAATCAATCTTAATCCCAATTGATCCCAATCTAATCTAATCTAACCTAATTGAGCTTGCAGCCTGACCCTAATGAGACCCCAATTTTAATGGACTTTATTCCTAATTGTTATGTTAAGCTTGGGTTTGTTAGGACTGAAGCCTAATATAACCGGGGGGCCTAAATTAACTGAGGCCTCTTTGGCATGCAACCGAATCTTCCTGTTTCCACCAAGTGTTGCGCTGTGTCAGGCCGTGTTTAAGACACCTAAAGTCGTCTTATAGTACATAATAACCTAGAGAAGCTTCAAATTTAATTTGTTTATAGTAAGTTGTTATGTCAGTACAGATGTCGTCTGTATTATTACTTCACATATTCACTTTGTTGTGACATATATTATTAACTTTTCACTTCAGGATTCTTTATTCTTTATTATCTATTTAATTCTTACAGAATATTGTTAAGCCATTATGAAGGTTTTTATAACTGTAAAAATGAAACGACACTTTTCAGTCTTTTGGAAATGAAGTATGAGAAGATTGCATAATGTAGGTAAGGTTTAAATTATCCCATCCATCTATTAGATGGATCTCTGGTTCAGTATTTCTTCCTGTAAAGAAAAAGTTGTTTTAGTTATTTATGACTCATTGGCACCATCTTATTGGAGCTGGCAAGGTACAGCCTCCTAATACTGCGCTGGTCGTATCTGAGAACACCTGCGTCTACAGTACACTTACTGGAATTATAGGCCTAAGTAGAAAATGATCAGGGAGGGGAGATAGTACTTCAAGTCTGAATGAGCTATGATATGTTGGGTTATATATTTGTCTCAAAAATCGTCTCATTCTGATTAAGCTGAAAGAGAAGAAACATCATTTAGTTAAGCACTCAATATTAAGCTCTTAGAACAAGCAGCGGGGAAGAATAAAACAGTATTATAGGGAATTGTCAGCAAAAAAAAAAAAAATACATAAATATATATATATATATATATATATATATATATATATATATATATATATATATATATATATATATATATATATATATATATATATATATATATATATATATATATATATATATATATATATATATATATATATATATATATATATATATATATATATATATGTATGTATAGAACTTTCTTTTAACATTAATTTTAAGGAAGTGAGTTGTGCGTGTTAGTGATGTATATACCTGTAGTATACTGGAGATCCTCACTGAGGAACCTGTGGAGGTCCTCGTCTCGTCTGCGGAGTTCTGTAGACATGAGCATGGCCCAGTCGGTGATGGCTGAGCATTGGTTGTCCAAGGCGTCTTGTCGCTTCCGGATAAAACGCTGGAAATTCATCCTTTGATCCTCCAGCACCTGTAGCAGGAGACGGTGCATTACGTGCAAGATATCTGATTGAGATGTTTCCAAATCTTGGGAAGTGAGTTGTACACTAGAGGGTGATGTGCGTGTGGGAAGGGCTGGCAACAATGACATATTCCATCAGCTCTTTGTTCAGTATTGTCCTGTCTGTCTAACAACACCTTGAATTCTTGTTTTAACCAATTTATACTGGATTCTTTACAGTCATGTTTGAAAATCTTTCTTCAATAGTAAAGACCTATCTCAGGCAAAATGTCATTAAGAATTTTTTGACCAGATCTTGAGAACTATTCGTTTACCATGAGAAACATTGAAACAATTTCGTTATGATACAATATTTTCTCTATCCATCAATAGTTTACTCTTGAACATTGAGTACAAAGTATCTCTAAAGGCTCGGCTCTGTTTCCCGAAAGCCTTATGCTATTGGCTTAAAATTTAAATTCAAGTATTATTCAGAAGTAATCATTCCATTATTCATAGAAGCCTCTTGTATGCAAGTAAGGTCACTTATCATAGGTCATAGTTGCTGGGTCTGGGGTTAAACGCCTTTGCTTTGAACAACTCCCACAAACTCCAAGATTAAAATTAAACCTTTTAATTTAAGATTTTTCATGGATAGACTAATTCAATAAATTTTTCGGCAAGTGTCAAGTAGCTGAAGCATCTAACAACGTATACACAACATGCCTCTACCGCCTACCAGCTCATGTGTCTCAGCCGCACTGCGCATGCCAGTGAGGACATTTTGGGTGTGGTGCGTATGGGTACGCAGGCTGTGTGTAAGGGAGTCCGCCTCCTTTCGCAGCTCCGCCTCCTGGTTGAGATAGAGTTCGTTCCAGGCAGCGGTGGTGGTGCCCACAAATACTCGCGTGTCTAGCTCCGCCTCCTCTATCTGTCTCATCGATGCGTGGTTAGACACCAGCGCCTTAGAATAAGAGGAAAAATCCATAAACAGCGTGAAATAATAGTAGCTTTATAAATATAGTTTAATAAGACGGGCAGTTTGTATTAATATTTCATCAAGTATGACAGTTTATATTCACAGAGCCTAATTGACGCAAAATTCATTCACACAGTATATAATAAAGAATGGCCGAAAATAATAAAATTTAATCAGATGTTTGATTGGCATTAAAGGCTATCAGATGGTGCCGTCATGAAAACACAGTCACAATTTCATTGTCAGCTACACTCTGGTTGTTATTGGTACGTTCCTCCATTTTGCATGTGTAGGCTATTGGATCTGAAATTTTTTAAATCAAGAGAGAGAGAGAGAGAGAGAGAGAGAGAGAGAGAGAGAGAGCTAACCTGGCTAATGCCTCTCTCTACTCTGTCGCTGATGTGGTTGGTATCCCTCTTGAAGATCTTCCTGAAGTCTTGTTCCAACACCGTAGCGTTGTCCAGCCTGTTCTTCAGCCCCTGTGAGAGCGTCTCCACCGCATCCTGAGTCTTGTTGAGGCTGAAGTGAGAGAGCGAGACTCTTACTTGCTACTTACTACTAATCGAGATACTCTCTAACACTTGAATTTTTAGAGCACAGAGCGACTGTGTAGTCCCTAAATAATAATGTTAGAAATGATATTAAGGATTGGTGTAGAGATAACATGGACGATAAGTGATATGAAATTCATTTCTTAATTGAAACATTTCCAAGATTAACAGTGACTCATTAACACTGTATATCTCATTTATAGTAGGTTTTATGTGTATCAACTGTTTTATTGTATATTTCTGAGGCAGGATTCAGGAATGTGTCATTAGGTTGTGTATGACTCGATGTTTTACTATTTATTAGCCAAATATATATACGGTGGAACAAAGGCATACTCTACTCAGGCAGGGTGTCAAACATGCGGCCCGACACCCTCTTACATGCGGCCCGCGGCCCACTGGCTGCTCCAGCCGCACCTTGAACAGCTAAGAGCCTAAGACAGTACCACTTGAAGTAAAAAGTTAAAACTATTTGTATCGGATAATACTCTTAGTCTATCGACTCTAGTCTATTGAATCTGTTCAAAGGCAAGTGCTTGAAGGATGCTTTGTGAATCTCAGTCCAGTATGTATCTGGTGCTGTAAGTCTGGCGACAGATGGAGCACCGCAAGTGGTGGTTAGAAAACCTGGCGTGGCAACAAAATTAAAGGAAAAACTACGAGGTGTGAACCCAAACCACCAATTTCATAATTTGCATTGCATTACAAATAGAGAATTGTTGTGTAGTAAAACATTAAAGATGGATAATGTCATGGATGTTGTTATAAAGACAGTGAACTTGATACAAGCACGAGGTCTGAACTACAGACAGTTCAACTGCTTATTGGAGGAAAATGAGAACACACACGGACTGCCATATCACACTGATGTTCGCTGGTTAAGTCAGGGAGTCATACTGAAGCGATTTAATGGAACAGAAAAGAAAGAATGTGCATGACTTGAAAGATAATGAATGGGTTCAAGTTCTAGCTTTCATGGTGGATGTTTCAGAGCACTTAAATTACCTGAACACAAAGATGCAAAGACGCAATAAATTGTTAACAGAGTTTTATGGCTGCATTCGTGCCTTTGAGATGAAACTGCAGCTTTTTGAAAGGCAACTTGCAGAGAGGAATCTTTCACACTTTCCGACCTTAAAGTCCCTGCAAGGTACACCTGAGCTTCATGTTGAGACCAACACAGAAAAGTATTGAATCAAGGTTTCCAAGTTTAGGAATGAGTTCCAAGAAAGATTTGCTGACTTTAAATACCTTGAGAAAGATTTTTCTAATTTTCAGAACCCATTCTCTGTCAGTGTTAATGAGGCACCAGAACATTTTAGGTTAGAATTAATTTTTATTTATTTTTTATTTTTTTTTATTGGGCACTCCCCTACATCCTTGTGTAAGGTGAAGCGCAGAAGCGTTTACAGCGCCCAACAGGGAAGCATGCTAAGTTCATGCTTGCCTTTATGTCTCATGAGTCAAGGGCGTAGAAGCCTGAAGAGTCAGTGGTTTATGTCATCAAGTTATTGGAAGCTCCAACAATTTGTCCCTGAATACGAATTCACAACTTTCGACTTGCACCAGGTACCTACTTTACTGCTAGGTGAACAGGGACTAATGGGGGCTAGGAAGTAAGTCCAAACAACTTCCACCGGCCCGGGAATCGAACCCGTGACATCTCGCTTGCGAGGCAAGAACGGTACCGCTTCTACCACAGGTCCCCCTTAGAATTAATTGAGCTCCAGTGTGATTCTGTTTTGAGGAACAAGTTTTCGAGTGTCGATGTTGGCGCATTTTATCAATATGTGGGACCAAATTATCCTCTTTTCTGTAATGAACATAATCAAATCTCAGCTTCGTTCTCATTTTTTTTTTATGGAGAATAGCCCACCCGGGCAAAAGTCATCGACCCACGAAAAATAATAGAGTAAAAAGAAATTAAAAATAGAAGAGAGAAAGACTATATCAATCTACACCACAAAGATGCCGGACAACCAGCTTTTTGAAGTGAGACAGATTGTATGAGTATGGAAACACAGGAGAAGGCAGAACATTCCACAGTTTGGCTGTGTGAAGAAAGAAGGATATACTATAACATTGCCCGTTAAAGCACCTGAATTCAATACTGAAGTTTGCTGTAGCTCAGTTATTAGCTCCAAACTTTGATGCATTGGTCCATGCCAAGAGGTGCCAAGTATCAGGCAATAAGACTAATCTAGGTAACTATACGTTATACAACACATAGCACAAGCAGATATATATATATATATATATATATATATATATATATATATATATATATATATATATATATATATATATATATATATATATATATATTTATTTATATTTTATTTATTTTTTTTTGAGAGAGAGAGAGAGAGAGAGAGAGAGCTTTGCGCTCGCCCTAAGGCAGGGAGCTTGTCCCTCACTGTCGTGTAGACACCCCTCAGCCGCCAGTGTCTCTGGTCCTGTTCCTGTATCCACCTCCCTTATTTTGCTGCACTGCTCCCCGAACGGGCGATCACAAAGTACTCATAATTATGTTACATGGCCCTTATAGTGTGTACTCATTAAATCTGACCCGCTGTAGCAAATGAGTTTGACACCCCTGCCCTACTGTATAGTGTATAGTCTTACTCTTACTTCGTGTAGCAAATATTCTAATTAATACTGAGAACTTCAAAAAAGATGTTCTGGAATATAATTACGAAGGTAGTCTTAGAATTGATCAATTACACAGACAAATAACACTTTAAATCTGACCTGTTGTTGATGTCGTTGTGGGTATCGTTATTGATGGAGATAAAATTCTGACTCTGAAGACGGATGAGGACCAGTTCCTTGACCACGTTGTTCATCCTGGTCTGTAGCTCCTGGCGACACACACACCAGGTTAGGGGGCCTCACACTTCAGTTATAACAGATTTACGTATGTTATGCTGACGAATTTTCTTATGTAGCAACAACTAATGATGATGAGGGAAGAGGAAAAGTGAGAGAAAGAGTATGGAGGAGAAGGATGAAGATGATGATGTTGATGATGATGGAGGAGAGTAGTAGGAAAGGGATGCCCACTCTGTAAACGGTGAAAAAGACTAAGAAGTGGGAGTAGAGTAAGAAACTAGAAGGGATGAGGAATAAGATAAATTAGGGGAGGTATGTGAAGGAGAGAGGCGCTCACCCTGACTAAGTTGTGGGCGTTGATGTGGAGGTAGTTGGCGTGGTCTCGGGAGCGCATCACCAGGTTGTTGTGCTTGGAGGCGAACTTGTCCACGTCCTCCTTGAGCTTCTGCAGGGTGTCTGCCTGCCGGGTGGCGTACGTCAGGTACACGTCCTGCAGCATCTCCACCTGTAGGAGGTTACCCAGCCCCGCCTTACACGCCCGTATTTTTAAACTCTCAAGTGCTCTTAGCTCACGACATTACACAATTCATTAAACTGTTATGGTATTAAGGCTGTGACGGTACACTACACCGCATGATTTAGAAAATACAATATAGTTTATAATACATCACCTAACTAACCAGCCCCAACATAATATCATGTGGGAACAGAGGGGAGAGTGAGACTGTGGGCAACAGACCGTGTTGTGATGAAGACAGCTAAGTTTGTTCGCACTGTTTAGTGTAATTAATGAACAGTAAAATGCACCATCTTTTTGGGTTATCAATCAAGTTCAAATTATCCTTTGGTTTTTTAAATTAGGATTAAAGCAATACAACACAAGATTGTTGATGTGGAGGAATATCCTCTGTCGGAGTGTTAGGTGTCGGCAGCCTCTTAAATCGCACCTTAGTTCCTGGAAGTGAGATTCTGAATTTAAATAACTTTTCATCATATCTTAATAAGTACAATGCAGTGCTCCCTAAGCCGTCCGTCTTATTAACTTAGTAGTGATATTAATGTGGATGATAATTCCCCCTTTTTCTAATCTTTACTTTCTGTACTCTGTTCCTTCCTCTTAAAGCTGAGTACTGTGATATTTGTCTCGGTAAAAAACTTTCAGCGTTAGTACAGAAGACGTAAACCTCCTGCCCCCCTTCCCTCCTGACGTGCCTCATATATCTTCATAACCTTATCTCCCTGACCTTGGTGATGAGTTCGACGCCCATGGAGGTGGCAGCAGAGGCTTGGTCGGTGAGGATGGCGGCAATGGCGGCAGCGGCTGGGAGGAACGTCTGCTTGTGGTAGTTCTGGATGGCTCGCAGCTGGGAGTCTCTGATGGCCTGGGTGATGGCGAGGCTCTTCTCTATGCTCGCCTGCCCTGAGTATAGCTGCCGGGGGATGGGGAAGAGGTGGTGATGGTTTAGTGGGTCGTGGTATGGAGATGGTTTGTGTTGTTTTTTAATCGTACGTTTACTCTCTCTCTCTCTCTCTCTCTCTCTCCTTTATATCTATCTATCTATCTATCTATCGACATATCCATCCCATCCACCTACATGATAATACCTGATCTGACGCGACTTTCTCCAGGGCGGTGATCTGCGCCGTGGAAGTCCGGACGAGGGCGGCGATCTGGTCTGAGAGGGCCTCTAGCTCCTGGCCTCGCTTCTCCAGTCTCCCTCCCAGGTTGTCCCGCAGCTCTTTGCAGAAGGCAGCCTGGGTATCGGTGAACTGCATGAGCGCCTCGTCCATCCGTGAGATCTTCTGGTTGAACCCCCGCCGGAAGTCTGTGCTCATGCGGTGAGTCTCGCGAGCCCTTTGGTTGTCCAACTTCTGGTCACTGTGTTTGTGTGTGTGTGTGTGGTTGGGTGCGAGGGTAGGATAGGATGATAGAGGGGGGTTAGGAGAATAGGAGGAAAGGTTAGGGGAGGAGGAGGAGGGGTTAGGAGAATAGGAGGAAGGGTTAAGGGAGGGGGAGGGTTGTTAGGAGAATAGGAGGGTTGTTAGGAGAATAGGAGGAGGGTTAGGTGAGGAGGAGGAGGGGTTAGGAGAATAGGAGGAGGGTGGTTAGGATATGATAAAGGTTGAAAAGTAAGATCAGCGGAAAGTAAAAAAAAAATCATATTAACTGAACATATGAGGTTTTATCATATCTTTGTGAAATGATAATGGAAGTCGTTTAGATTTAAATTGTTGATAATTATGACTTTCATAACAGAGACGATTGTTAACATAATCCACAAAAGGGCAGTCAGTATCTTACAGTAGTGTGTCATAAGGCAAGGGTCACGCACCTGTAAGCAACATCGGCCAAGACAGATTCATTGTCTAGAGCCTCCTCATCGGTGGTCGTGATGGTAGGTGTTGTGGTTGTTGTACTAGAAGGCGTTGTGGTTGGTGTGCTAGAAGACGTGGTGGTTGTTTTATTAGAGGGCGTGGTGGTTGGTGTGGCTGAAGAAGTGTTGTTATTGGTCATTTGTTCTTTGTTTTTCCTTTCTTGGCGGCGCCGTTCTTTCCGTTGCTCTCGTTCCATGCGACGAAGGAGTCGTCGTCTTCGTCGGTAGTCCCTCCAAGCGTTGCCACCACCACAAGTCGCCAGCTTTCTCTGTGGTGGGGTCAAACAGGACCTGCAGGCGCTAACTCTCGCCCTCAGGTCTCGCAACTGCCGCTCCAGTAGCGCCACGTACTCCTGGTGGTGGAGACAATATTAATTACAAGTATATACATTGACAGTCGTAGCACAGTTCGGGCTGGGCTAGAAACTTGACCCAAGTCTTCTGGATGCAACTTAAATAAAGGAAACAAGCAGCAGCTACAGTATATGGTGACCTTGTTGGCTGTCCTTGGGCGATTCACCTTACTGTTTACCATTGTTTGTATACATTTAACACCTATTTATGTCATGTAACCTGCATTGTCTATATACATGGTGAATCATTGTAACCGTATGACGAGTTTACTGAATAAATATCTATCTCCATCTATCTACCCATCTAAGGCTTGCACTAGCTGGTTGTTTTTAATGTCCGGCGATAAATGTACAATATACTTGTGGAACGCAACTCCATGAGGTGATGTTGTCCATGACTGCATTATCATCTTATGATTACTATTGAACGATTCTCATTTATGCCTGAAATACAGGGTGATTCAGCAAAGAAAACATTAAATTAGAGGATGAAATTCTTGGATAATTCTAAACCACAATGTCTCTATGGTAAAATGTCAGATTCTGCATTTGCCCACGTGTTCGTGACAGGTGCGAGCAAATTAAACATAGTCCAGATATTCTGGAGCGCCTCAGACGATCAATGATACGACGTGTACAGTGAGGCAGACGGGGGTAACTTTGAGCATTTCTTTTAGGTTGTAACAAAGAGGGGTCACACTGTAGAGATCTATGAATAAATGATTACAAAAACCTACTGGGGTTTCACTTCAAATTCACTCTCATTAATACAACATCTTAAATGTATTATAACATGGAAACTGCGCAGAATCTGACATTTTACCATAGAGACATTGTGGTATAGAATTATCCAAGGATTTTATCCTCCAATTTAATATAATCTTTGCTGAATCACCCCAGCATGTTGAGTACCGTAGAGTAAGCGACCCCTATATCCATTGCTTTACTACCTGTTGCTGAAAGTTCCTTAATAATTTTTTTTTCTGTTTATAGTTTGGGTTTTCTCGTCAGATGACTCTCACCCTTCACTAACTCTTGACTAATTGTAACATTGTGTGAACTCAAAGGCTTTCATCTACAAGTGTGTTTTATCATCACAAGTGAATAATCAGAAGGAGGAAGGAAGGAGACTCGATTGTTTTTGTTGGTGTCTGTGCCCTTTTAGCCAATATGTGTACACTAACCTTCCCACACCACTTGACTTCAGCCATGTGGTAGATGTGCCTCTAGATCTTGACCTTAAAAAGCTAGCTCATTCTACCTTATTTTCATAAAATCTGACGCACCGTTTTAGCTGAGTGTTGATGGCGCTCATGTCTGCCACGAAAATTTAGAGTTTTGCTACAAGATATTCTGTCTATTAACACTTCTATGAAAAGAGTTCCTTAAGCCTGACGGGCCGTTAGGTACAGTGTGAATACAAAACTATAAGCCATCAGTCATTAGGAGGCAGCAGAGCCGGCACTACACTTGACCACCTTCACTTTCCCAAGTGTAAGGTTAGGTACCTAATTACAGTTGAATAGCCTGGTAGTAACCAGATATCGTACCAGCAACCCTTAAGACTGGAGGCGAGAGCTACATCCACTCGGCGGCCACACCCCCAACACATACAAGTTAATATAAATTTGCTGGGACAATCTACATAGATGACGTTAAAAGAGAAAAAACAATGTAATGTACCATTTTGAAGTAAGCTAAGGACACCTTCCACATCATCCTCACACACACACACACACACACGGCCACCCTTAGTCAATATTACCTTTTCTGTAAGGGTGGCGCTGAGTGAGTTGGTTGACTGGTCTGCCACCATGACCTGACCCAAGCTGCGCGGGGGCCGTGTGCCGCCCCATCTGGACCCCCGTGATGCACGATGGTCCAGGAAGCTGTCGGTCCTCAGGGGATCACGCAGGGGTCTGAAACTTTGCCTGGTGTTGCCCCTCATGACTGGTCCTCTTCCACTCACCAGTCTGCTAGATGATGATGGTGATGATAATGATGATGATCGTGATTGGGACGGGGAAGGTGGAGACGAGGAACTAGTTGATTGAAAAGAAGTGGCTGGAGAAGGAAACGACTCAGTCGCGGAAGAAGGGACTGCAGAAGATGGATCAGCTAAGGCGGGCGGAGATGGAGGTTTAGTGCGTACAGTGGCTGGTGGTAATTTTGAGGACGTTGAATCTGTGTCAGTGTTAGTGGTGGAGGAGGTGGTGGCCACAAGGGGGAGGGGTGCAGGGGGCAGAGGCAGGGCCGAAGGGGAGGGCGAGGCACCCTCCAGGTCCAAGTCAAACCCTAGAGGGAGGTCGGTTGAACCCAGCTGGCAGAAGAGGAGGTCCCGCCGCAGCGACGACACCTCCGCCCAGTAGTCCTGTAGGGGAAACGGACACGAGTTAGGTGATGGCGGCTACCTCTCATAATTCATTAGAGGCTACCTTGCTTTTAGAGCAGTGGTGGGCAACTCAAGTTAGTTAGTGGGCCGCATCCATTAAAATTTGATCACCCAAATCCAACGAGGATGAGTGATGACAAAGTCGGATCATGTGGATGTGGCTAGCGTACAGAACATGTATTGGAGACGTAGTTAGATTTGGGCGTGGAATCGTGAAGGCTAGAATACATATGGCTATAGACAGTAGGCTAAGGCTGTGAATGCATGTGGGCATGGATAGATAATGGAGAGGTTAGATATGAACGTAAGTAGATATAGACAGGGGTAAACATGCACGTGGGTAGATATAATCACGAGTAAACATGGTTATTGTTAGGTGTGGGCGTGGGTAGATATGGTCGTGGGTAGGTGTGAGTACGGGTAGATATGGGTGTGCATATAAATTAGATCGTGAAGACGTGTTGGTAGGAGGCAGTACAGAGGGCATATTGAGAACAGGTTTGATGAGGGAAGTGTGGGCGGGGAGGTGGCAGGGTGTGTGTGTGTTGGGGGTGGGGGGGGGGGCTCTCCACTGTTAGGGTAAATTTTTCGTACATGCACTTAATTCGTATCACATATAAGATTGGTGTTACATTTGAAGAACTTATTTCCTTAAATGGTGTTACATGTGCGGCAATCTGACAGTCGTGTGAAATTTTGAACATAAAATATATATGAAGGTGGTTTGAGGAACTAAGGCACCGTAGATTAACTCAACATCGGCAGTACAACAGTGAATTATTATTATTTTTTCAACTGAGATGGATCATGGACTAATTAAACTCAATGAGAGAGGGAGGGGGGTTCAAGATAGCTAGTGGGTAGTGCTTAAAACTCTCCTACATAATTATGACCATAACACACGCAGGCTATAATGTAAGAGACATTGATGAATCACCCCACATCAGCCTGCCATGAACCACACACGCAACCGTACAAATAGGCACTCGCAACTGTAAAAAAAAAAAAAAAAAACACCAGGCATATACAAAATTAAAAATAATTACAAAGTACAACATCTTATAACAGAATTTCATGAAGTAAATCCATTAAGTTGTAAGGCTGGAAAATAACGACGACACCAAATTTACACCGTTTTATTTTCTCTCGCTCTCAAACCTGCTATTACCATCTCCATTATTACGCAGAAGGTTAAGTTACCATCGGGTGACCTGTGGTATCTGATTTACAGTATGTCGTGAGGTTTACACAGCTAACAAGGATTTACAGCCACTGATCTATACAAGGCGTCAATTTACAAGGAGTTAAGTGACAGTGTTATCGGAATATTATCCAGATCGGGAAAGTGTTGGGAGTTATTACAGTTTGTGTTCGGTGGGAGATACGAGGAGGGGGGGGGGGTGTTGTGTGTGTGTGTTAACAGAGAGGGTAATGTTAACAGATGGAGGGTAATGTTAACAGATGGAGGGTAATGTTAACAGAGGGTAATGTTAACAGATGGTAATGTTAACAGAGAGGGTAATGTTAACAGATGGTAATGTTAACAGATGGAGGGTAATGTTAACAGAGGGTAATGTTAACAGATGGAGGGTAATGTTAACAGAGGGTAATGTTAACAGATGGTAATGTTAACAGATGGAGGGTAATGTTAACAGAGGGTAATGTTAACAGATGGTAATGTTAACAGATGGAGGGTAATGTTAACAGAGGGTAATGTTAACAGATGGTAATGTTAACAGAGGTAATGTTAACAGAGGGTAATGTTAACAGATGGAGGGTAATGTTAACAGAGGGTTAATGTTAACAGAGTAATGTTAACAGAGGGTAATGTTATAACAGATGGAGGGTATAATGTTAACAGAGGGGAGTAATGTTAACAGGGTAATGCAGATGGAGGGCACAGAGGTAATGTTAACAGAGGGTAATGTTAACAGATGGAGGGTAATGTTAACAGAGGGTAATGTTAACAGAGGGTAATGTTAACAGAGGGTAATGTTAACAGATGGAGGGTAATGTTAACAGAGGGTAATGTTAACAGAGGGTAATGTTAACAGATGGAGGGTAATGTTAACAGAGGGTAATGTTAACAGAGGGTAATGTTAACAGAGGGTAATGTTAACAGATGGAGGGTAATGTTAACAGAGGGTAATGTTAACAGATGGAGGGTAATGTTAACAGATGGAGGGTAATGTTAACAGGGGTTAATGCTAACAGAGGGTAATATTAACAGATGGAGGGTAATGTTAACAGAGGGTAATGTTAACAGATGGAGGGTAATGTTAACAGACTGGATAATGTTAATTTTAGCCATAGTCCACCTTACTAATCCAAGAGCACAGAACACTGAGTGTGTGTGTGTGTGTGTGTGTGTGTGTGTGTGTGTGTGTGTGTGACTCACCATTTTTATGATGTGAGGCACCAAATAAGGAAGGTCTTAGTTGCCTCTAATGAGTCTAGTTGATGTCTGGTGGAGGTCTCCTGAGAAAAATATTATATTCAAAGATGTTTTTATTTACTAGAGACTGTCTGTTGTGGCTGCTTGTATTTGAAGTTTTATTTAGTGCTGCACAACATCAAGGTATGAGATTTATGCCTATCTCTGAAAGTTGTGTTTTAAAAGCTTTTTTGACAGTACAGTATAATGAATTTTTCTTGCTCAAGGGTTCACAGATTTTACATACATACATACATACATACATACATACATACATACATACATACACGATGGTAGAGCAGAACGCTCATTCATAAACTTAAAGTAAGTAAAGACGAACTGAAAAATGAGACATTAACCAGCGGAGCGGAGGTTAATACACCTTTAACCTCTTCACTACAGGGACGCTTCTTTTACTATTTTATTTGGTTAACGCTACGACGATTTTATCCAGCTCAAAGAGGACCCTGTACACAAGGGGCTATTTGACCATCTCACTTAATCTCACACTGTACATATCACTAGTCACTCTACTGTACACTACACTACTTATCACGATCTATATATTGATTTAGAACTTCTCATGATAGTATCGCAAGCATGATAAATATATATACGGTATACTGCTTTATATATGTTTATTTATCGAATTTTAACATTTGATTTACATTGGTTCTGATAAAACAAATTGTGTTATAATGAAAAGGATATTACTGTAGAATAAATGGATTTGGTGAGTTTTTATAGTTTTTAAGAAGACTTTGGCGGTGTGTTAATGGCTGCACTGCAATATATGTCCCGTTAAAGTGTAAACAAAGATCATTGGTACCTTAAATAATTTGCTGATAATACTTGATTAATGTTATATGTATTCATAAATTAGCTAACAGGATATACAGTACCGGTTATAATTGCTACGAGTTCGTTTCTGGTTGGATATAATTAAGCACTTTTGTTATATCACCTTTGTTTAACCATGACTTCCATTTATACACCTCAATCATATCGCCCCTCACTCTACGTCTCTCGAGGGAGTGCAAATTCATATGATTTAATCTGTCTTTATACTCAAGGTTTCTAATGCCCGGGATTAGTCTTGTCATCCTCCTCTATATGCTTTCTAGGGCTTCGATATCCATTCTGCAGTACGGTGACCAAAACTGAACTGCATAATCCAAGTGAGGTCTCAAGCGCAAACTAGTTTTAGGATAACCTCACTAGTCTTTTAACTAACACTCCTTTGTATGAACCCAAAACTTTGTTAGCCTTGTTTCGAGCAAATAGGCATTGTTGTCTTGGTTTAAGATTCCTACTTACCATTACCCCTAAATCTTTCTCATAGTCGGATTTCTCTATATTAACTTTGCTCATCTGATATCTGTTTTTTTCTGTTCACATCTCCTAGACTAAGTACTTTACATTTGTCCACATTAAATTTCATCTGCCATTTTTTAGACCATGTGAAAAATTTGTTTAAATCTTCCTGTAGTTAAGCGGAGTCTACGTCAAATTTAATTATGCGCCCTATTTTAGTATCTACGCCTACATCTATGTCGTTTATGTTTTTGATAAATAGTAATGGTCCAAATACTGAGCCTTGGGGTACTCCACAAGTGACGTTACCCCCAATCGGATTTAGAGCCTTTAATGCTGACTCTCTGTTTCCTGTCCTGTAACCATACCATAATCTAATTTAGAATATTTTCTCCAGTTCCATGAGCCTCCACTTAATGAATTAGTATTTCATGTGGGACCCTGTCGAAGACTTCGCTAAAGTCAAGGTATACCACATCATAATCGTGACCTTCATCCACTGATTCAAAAACAGTTGAAAAGAATGATAATAGATTTGTCAGACATGAACGCCCATGAGTGAAGCCATGCTGGGAATCAATGATCAATTTGTGTTTCTCGAGGTGATTTCGAATTGAGTTTGAAACTATTGCTTCCAGTAATTTGGCTACAATTGATGTTAAACCAATTGGACGGTAGTTAGAGGATAGTGATCTATCTCCCTTCTTGAAGATCGGTGTAGGGTTATAATTAACACGTGCTGTATTGCTGTAGTGAACATGTGTTATAGTGAACATGTGTTGTAGTGCTATAGTGAACATATGTTGTAGTGTTATAGTGTTCCAGCAGTGGACTGTGAGCTTCAGACACAATAATTCAGTCATTTCACTGTGTTTGAGTCAGTGTTATATGATATGGAGACTGAGACACAACACAACACAACACAACGCAACACAACACAACACAACATTGCACTATTTCCTCCCAAGACTTCCGCAGACTCGTGTTGTCCTTATATAAAGTTGTTTATCAGTGGAAGCGTTAGCAACTAATCTGCAGTGTGGATGATTTATTTAAGAATAATCACAGGTGAGAGTACACGTGCACAAGGGAGCCTGACGGTGAGGTGAAACAAAGAGTGATGAAGTGCGTGGATGACAGGTACAGTACGCTCGAATATACATGGATGAAGGTATACTTGTGATGTGTAGTGACGGTGGTGATGGTGATGAATGAGGCACCTAGGTA